TGTCCATAACACGACTGTTCACACAACTGGGGGTACCTGTTTCACCAGCTAAGACTGAAGGTCCAGATACGATCATCAGCTTCTTGGGAGTAGTACTGGACTCTGTACATATGCAGACTAGCCTCCCCGGGGAGAAGATTAATCGCATCCTAGCAGCCATTGACCTTTACCTAGCAGGAGGCTTGTGTAATAGGAAAGAATTACAATCCCTGTTGGGTTCCCTAAATTTCGCCATGAAAATAATTCCACAGGGGAGAGCCTTCATATCCCGTTTGCTTAGGCTATTTCCCCTGTTTCACTCTGATTCCACCCGCATTACGTTAGACATACATGCCACCGCTGACCTACATATGTGGAGAGAATTTTTGCTAAATTGGAATGGGAAAAGCATTTTTATCCCGGTATGGTCAGATAAGTCAGTGTCATTATGGACGGATGCCGCTACCACGTCAGGTTTCGCAGCTATTTGTGGCAATGAATGGATGTGGGGTAAGTGGCCAGGGGAAATAACTGCAATCCCCAAGTTCAAAGATACATCAGCCTTATTCGAGCATTACCCCATTGTGGCGGCAGCAGTTAAGTGGGGAGCTGGCTGGTCTGGGAACACGGTGCGTCCATGGAGACTATCATTGCATTTATTTCTTTTTGCCAACTTCATCTGACACTATCATATAACACCATTAAGTTGTATATCACAGGTATTCAACATCACGTCCTCACAACCTGGTCTAATAGGCAACGATTTCTGTCATCCTAAAGCCATACTAAAAGGTATTAAAGACTTCACTCCTTTACCCTCACCATCCAGACTTCACGATCTTTTGTTTCAGTCACTATCCAATCTGCTAGACACCTCACCATTCGAAGACCATAGAAACCGTATAATTAAAACAGCCATCTATCTGGCTTTTTACGGTTTTCTTAGGCCCAAAGAGTTCACCACCACTAACTATAATTCCCCTGACATCATCACTAGGTCGAATCTGGTAAAAGTACAAGATCACTACGTTCTATCCCTACACCATACCAAAACTACTGCTAAAGGACAGACTGTCACTATCACCTATTACCCCACTAACAATAATTGGTGTCCGGTGGAAGTTTTCGGCCTCTTGTACCATAGCCCCTACACAACCACTCCTTACGTTGCATGGTAACAAGCTAACAAGTAAATTCATGGTGTATGTTAGGATGTTGTTGGTCCGTTTAGGATTAAACCCAGCAAGTTACTCTGGTCACTCATTTAGAATAGGAGCCGCCACTACAGCTTCTAAGAAGAATATCCCGGCTCACATAATTAAAATTTTAGGCCGGTGGAAGTCCACGGCTTACACAAGATACATCCCTCAGCCAATACAAGAACTGCGCTTAGCATTCAAGACCATGAATATGTGATATGCTATATTTGTAGGATGAATAAACTGGTTATATCTTTTTGCCCTCTTTTATTTCAGGCCTACTGCCTCGTCAGTTCCGGCACACTACAACTGACATTTCCATTTACTGTTTGTCTTATGTTATTAATACTACGACTTTATGCCGTGACCACAAATATATATATATATATAAACAAAAAAAAACATATACAAGGAGCACTCACAGGTCTTCATCTGAATACTGATTTATTCTAAAGTGCAATCGACGTTTCGACCCTCACAGGGTCTTCAAGATAAAATAAACAGTGAAACAGGTAAGTATATATACACAAACAAATTTACATTGATAACTTACCAACAGGTGTGTGGGAAAAGAAAACCGCCAACTATCCGAAAACCGGAAGTATCCCCAAATGATCATGTGATCCCCTACACCCCCCATATTACTGCGTGACCAATACGCTCTCTGTGTGCCCGAACGTGAGCTACGTAAGTACAAGAGACCGCCGAGCATCCAAAACCCGGAAGTGCAACTCTGCGGTCACATGATCTTGTTGCCAGGCAACCTACAAAGCTCCCTCCGTGTATAATCTGACGTGTATGAAAGTGTGTGCAGCAAAAGTGTAAAAAGTAAACATTACAAATAACGATATAAAAATTGAATTAAAAAAAAATTATTTATATATATATATATATATATATATCTGTCCAGAGGAGGATATCAATACTTAATGTATCCATTCATAATGTGGGAATAGTACAGCAAAGTGTCAATTATACAAAGGAACATAGGATGCAACATCTTATACCCCACATCTCCAGCATCTATGGTATAAAACATTAGTTTATCAAAGCTATTTTACCAAATCAGAGTTCCTGCTAATAATCTGTGCTCAATAGAACCATCCATAATATAAATTAGAGCAGCTTAAAATAGGGCGTAATAGTACGACCTCCGGTGTTAAGAAATGGTATGCCTTTATGTAGTTTTAATATGTAGCCTGCTCAAGCGCTCCAAAGTGGGACACAGACACATCAAAACCATCCACGAAAATTCACACTTAAAAACCTGAACTTGTCACGCCTCCTTTACAGCACTGTAACTTCACAAATTGTGTCTAGGTCATACATTGGGCATATTGTTTTACTCAAAAAGTGTAACGAAGTATAATTTGGGGATTTTTATGACAGTGGTACATATTAAGTGTAAGAAATACTCAGCAAAAATTGACATAAATTGGTGAAAAAATGGTGACAAGTTAAGGCAGGGCTTGACAAATTTGCTTGGAATCTAGGAGCCAGTTAGAAAAGTAAGGAACCAGAGAAATTAACACCAAAAATACAATTCTTAAAGGGACACTTTAGTCAGCAGAACCACTACAGCTTAATGCAGTTGTTCTGAAGTCTATATCCTGTCCCTGAACACTTTTCAATGTAAACATTGACTTTTCAGATAAAAGGCAGTTGTAACGGACCATTCCGTTAATGGACGCTTTCGTAGCTTGCGCCGAGGACCACAAGCACCGCACTGGACACCACAACCACCACAGACTCCACAACCGCCGTAGCTTAACTGAAGCCTCGCCGTCTTCCATTCACCCTGGATCAGCTTCTGTCC